AAAAAAAAACACGCCAATATCTTCCACTATAATCTACCAAGCGATTAGATTATATTTTCAAACAATAGTGAAATTTCGTTGGCAAGTAGCCAACGTTTTGAAAATTTCAAAGCAATGGCACGTAATGGAGTGACCTTGTTCGCAAAATCTCAAGAATTCGACGATTTTTACAATTCTCTCTTGCAAACTCGCAAATGAGATTAGCACGCTTGGCCTCTGGCTACAATGGTTATTCTATCTAGAAGACGTACCTTTCCAACCCTTGCCCATTTTCCTCTCGATATCGCCGAGACGTGACGTCGTTCAGAGCGAAGCAAACGAAGCAACAGTTTTAACGATCACCTTCGATCTACCACCCTCGGGCAGGGTCCTCGTCCTTCACAACGAACGAACGTCAGCAGCCGATTGTTCTCTCATCGGAAGTTGGCTGCCATTTCCCTTTTCGAGTGTATCGATCACCGATCACCGGTCACAAGAAGACGATCTATCTATCCCTCCCTCTCTCTCTCTCTCTCTCTCTCTCTCTCTCTGTCTCTCTCGTCAGACACAAAAGACAAAAGACAAAGGAAATCCTTTCGAAACGTGCAAGAAGACAATGGGTTATCGCCTCGATCGCGAGGAAACGAAACTCGCGAGCGAAAGAACGAACGAAGAGAAGGAGGAGAAGGAGGAGATCGATAAGAGAACGAGAGGATGCGAATGGTAGCTGGATTGTTGCACTGACGGTCGCGAGATGTTCTCGACGAGTGTTCACCACGTGGAGTCTCTGCGGGCTATTGAGCCTGCGGAGCGCGGGTTTCGCCTTCATATATCGGCTGTTCTCCACTGCGGGCTCTCTCTCTCCCCCTCCTCCCACCCGCCTGTTCTCTCCTTTCTCGCCTCCACCACCTTCCTTCCGCCCGTTCATCATCGGCAGCCACGCCGAAACTCATTCAAAACGCCGGTGTTGTGCGGCGTCGACCGCAGTCCTGCCAGGATTCTCAACGTCGAGAATTTTTTTTTTCTCTCCCAAAATTGCGACATTCCCTCAGTTTCAAGGGTGAACTTTTGAAGAAAAAAAATCGAATTTTTTTTTCCCTTTTTTTTTTTTTTGATTCTCGAAGGACATAGTTTTTGAAAAATAAATTACTGAAACTGTAACCTTACATGTGAACGCCTGAAATGAACGAAGTTGCGGTTGTGTTTGGAAGACAGTTAGCGTCATTGTTAGGGCAATAGTGAACTTTAAAGGCATTTTTCTGAGAACTGTGTTTTTCAGAACGGTGTCCATGATATCACAAAATCTACCTGACCCGAAATTGACTCGAAATTTTTAGTACGCATTTAGCACATGCGTGACTATAGCCTCTATCAGAATCAAATTTTATTTCTTTATATTCTGTTTAGGCTTTCGAAGTTTCACGAAAACATGCAAAAATCGATAATCGAACTTCAAAGTATCGCCACTTTTTTAATTACCGACTTTTTTCTTTTTGTTTTGATACCTGCTATAGCCAAACTCATACTAATTAAGGAACATTCTTTATGCTTTTTTATTTCCGACAAGCAGAATGGCCGGAAATCACGGACAATCGTCAGACGACGCTTTTCTAAAAGCGACTATGTTTGAGTGTACGCAGTGCCACTAATTTTAACTTTTTTTTGTCCCAAAAAATTTTCAAACGTCGTTGAAATACGTACAAATAAACCTTGTCTGCAATTTGACTGCAAAATGTATAATAGTTTCTTCGCAAAAAATTCCCTAACAGAGTTAAAAGAACACGCGTTTCACTAGAATACGTACAAATAAACCTTGTCTGCAATTTGACTGCAAAATGTATAATAGTTTCTTAAAAAAAAATTCCCTAACAGAGTTAAAAGAACACGCGTTTCACTAGAATACGTACAAATAAACCTTGTCTGCAATTTGACTGCAAAATGTATAATAGTTTCTTAAAAAAAAATTCCCTAACAGAGTTAAAAGAACACGCATTTGACGCTAGAATACTCGCTTAATGGGGCAGGACAGTTTGACGAATACTTTGGAGGGCTGGTAAAAAAACAAAAGTACATGATATATATGTTACAATGTTATAATCAACATATAATTATATTATAACGTATATATGATATAACATAATATTTCCAAATATTTCTCAGAAGTCTAATTAGAACGTACTACGCTGCTTGATACGTTGCGCTACATGCTCGCGTTATTCAGATAACTTATCGCAATTACGAACGTGGCTACTTACATATTTCACTTGCTCGAATGACGCACTCAACGTCAGTTAATTTAAACGTAACCGCGCTAGATTCAGATGGAACGTTATCTCTGAAAGTAAACGATTCAAGGGAAAATTTTTCCAAGATCTCGTACGAATCTACGTGAAAATATCAAATTTAATTGTTCGGCTATGTCTACGAAATCGTACCGCAATTGTAATACGCCGCTGCGATTCAGGTTGATATCGATCGTAATTTCCTTTTAATTCTTTATTAAAATAATTAAAATTCTTTAAAATTAAAATTCTTTGTTCAAATAATTAAAATTTATTATTAAAATAATTAAAATTGAGCGCCACTGAAATAAAGTAATCATTAAAATAAAGTGATACAGCGGCCTTTTAATCATTTTAGAGAAATTTGTCATTTAATTTGATAATCCACGATAAGATATACTTAAACTGTATTAACTGCATTGTTATTAGAATTTTAAAAATAAAAGTTTATATCGACAAAAATTTTTATAAAATAATATTTTCAAAAAGGCATGTAGTATATTTAAGAATAAATGAATTGTAAAAAATTTGTAACTTCAAAAAATATGGCACATAATTAAGCCGCCAAACAGTTACCATAATTTTGTTCACACGCAGCTTGGGTTATGGCAAATTTATCGAATCACCATTATACAGGGTGTTTCGTAACTTTTGGAAGCTAATTGCACGCCTAAAAATAATGAAAAAAAGTCATATGAATATATGTCTTATCTGTCTTCGTTTATGAGACATGAGAAATGAATTTTATAAACAGAGCGAAATCTAGTAAGCTGGTATATTCAATTTTCATAATAATCATAACTGGAATGAAGAAAACCCACGTGTTATTGCGCATTCAAGACATCAACGCCAGTTTAGTTGAAACGTATGGGCAGGAATAATTGATAAATTTTTAATTGGACCTTTTTTTCTTGATGGGAAACTAACTAGGCACAAAAGTACGTTGATTTTTCGAGCACGCGTTTACACGAAATATTAGAGCAAGTTCCAGTCGATATTAGACTTCGTACGCGGTTTATGCATGATGGAGCTCCGCCGCATTTTAGCCGAGTGGCTAGGCAATTTTTCAATCGACACTTTGCAAATAAATGGATCGGTCGTGGAGGTCCTATTGCATGGCCTGCTCGTTCTCCGGATTCGAATCCATTAGATTTTCATTTGCGAGGACATTTAAAATCTATCATACACGCAACATCGATTGAAAATGCTGAAATACTACGAAATAGAATAGGGCAAGGCTTGCGACAAATTCGAGAAACACCAGGAACGATAGAGAGGGTAACCAGATGAATGACAAGAAGCGCGCAGGCTTCAAATGCAATTGTCTTTTGTAAAAAGCAATTGAAACAGAAAATTCATTATATCTCATTAAACGAAGACAGATATATATTTAATTAACATTAATAACATATATTTATATGACTTTTTTTTCATTACTTTCAGGCTTTTACAATCAGCTCGCGAAAGTGGGTGTCACAAGTTACGAAACCGAGCCAAATGCATTGTCGCACTTTACGCGCAGTTTGTTGAATTCGTAAAGGAAAAAAAATTGCTCCAATTTGCACCAGAAAGAAACTCTTCGAAATTACTATGCGAGAGTATCTGGAAGAAAGGGGCAAGTTACAAATACATAACCAAAGAGCGCAATTATCCTCCGGCCGATCGCAAGACCTAGATATTTGGATGTTTGCAAATTGCTGATGATGGATTAATGGTACGATCGCAAAACCTAGATCACGATATTTGGATGTTTGCAAATTGC